CTTGAGTTGTATTGAATTCAAGATCCTGTTAAGTTTAATTATGTATTATTATTATGATTACATGTATTATTAATACTTACAGCAAAATGTTCTGATTAAGATGACACAAACATGTTGTTTGTATTAGATATATATATATATATATATGAGTTTTCAACATCTATAACAGATGGTCCAACCTTTTGTAGGGAAGAAAAGTGTGTGCAAATACACCTAGTAATTGAGGTGGGTTTTGTTTGAAACTTATAAGACACACACATATCAATATATTTATGTATATGTAATAGAATATATAAAATGAGATAGAGACTCCAGTGGGGTCCAAGTTATGAGAGTGATTAATGTTACATATACATAACATATATAGAAAGAGAGAGAGAGAGAGAGAGAGAGAGAGAGAGAGAGAGAGAGATAGGAATATGAAGAGAGGATTGAAACACGAATGCAAGCTAGTTGCCGAAAAATTGTGTTTGTTTTGTATCTGTTTGTGATTGGATTGCCATGGAAATAACTGGTATTGTTTTTGTTCAAAAAAAATATGTATGATTGTTCAGTATTGACTGCATCTGTTTGTGATTAGATTGCCATGGAAATAACTGGTATTGCTTTTGTTCAAAACAAATACTTTATTGTTTGTTTGTTGTTTGTTGTTTGTTGTATATGTTTGCCCATTGCACAAAGGTGGTGGTTCAAGAAAGAAGTGCACACACACGTCTGTGGTTTTTTTTTTTTTTTTTTTTTTGAGGAAGTGCACATATTGAATTTGGTTGAAAATTTTTAAAATTTTAAACTGCCAAACTGATTCGCATCCATCCGCTAATCAGCCAATCTGCTCAATTTGCATCTGTCGGATTGGCAAATGGACGCGGATTGATTTTTTCCAATTTGCCAATCCAACTGATGGATGGAGGATTGGAGGTTCTGTGGTTACAACCGATCCGCACTCACCCCTAGTGGTGATAGGATTGGAGGTTCTGTGGTTACAACCGATCCGCACTCACCCCTAGTGGTGATGACATAGTGTCACCGTCGTATTAATTTTTTTTCAAAATAAATATCTAAAAGGGTATATATAAAAATTATGTGTTTTAAAAATACAAGATAACCCCAGGGAGTTGTAGGTTTTTGTTTGCCAAAATCAAGGGCTCTTTCTATGGAAACCTCCATGAACAATCATCGTTTTTTGATAGTTTTTTCGTTTCGCACATCTATTGTTTATTGCGGCAGATACAATAAAGTGCGCACAAAAAGGAATGTAGGGATCCATATGTAAACATAGTATCTATTTAAATATGCTCGAATAAAGCAATCCCTCCCCTTCTGTTACACTTATATCTTCGGTATACCTCAATACAAGACGAACACAGGAAATGATATTCAATCAAAATCGGGCTTCTTTCATTGTCTATTTCGCTAAGGTTTCTGTTTTGGTTGACTCTGCAGTTGAAAGAGTAGGTGATGTTGCCCCTTTATGGTTCGGCTTTTGATCTAATCCATAGAATTTTCAATTCTAACACAAGGTACTTATTAATCGACTAAGTACATTTGATGTAATTGAATGATTTCGCCGTAGCTAGATTAATACCAATGCATGCCAGTTCATGAATAAAATGTGACCAATAAACCAACAGAACTACTTGTCGCAAATAACATCTCGATATTTTTGCAAACACCAACCCTTACTCATTAGAATGATTGATAGGTTATAAAAAAAAAATTCATACTTCAGATACTTAGGCTTAGGGGTTGTTTGGGGTGTACTAAATAAGTGCGCTTTTTGTCTTTTTAGACTAAAAAGTTGAGGAAAAAAATATGAATGTTTGGATTAACTTTTTGACTTTTTATGAAAAATTGTGTATTAAAAAATTGTATAAATAAGTATGTAGGAGAAGATAGGGTATGAGGCCGTACGGAATGGCAGTGGTGACTGGCTGGTGAGTAGATGAGAAAATATTGTCTCCTTCTCGGGCTTTGATTGAATGTGTTGTTTGGCCTGTGGGGGCCCACCACGGGTCCCGTTTTTCTAATCGGAACCGTTCAATGTGTAGAACTCGTCGAGTACTATGTATTTATACAAAATTACGTTGATCGGATATCGATAACTATCTGATCATGTTAGTTTTTTTTGTTAACTGTTAACTATAACACTATCCATTTTTATATAAAACTGATTTGATCATATAGTTAGCGATATCCAATAGACGTGATTTTTTACAGGCATTTAGTACTAGACGAGTTCTACATATTGAACGGTTCATATTATCAAAACGGGACCCATGATGAGCCCTTACGGGCCCAACTTTACCATCCAATTTAGTGAATATTTTACTATAATTTTTTTTTTCCCTGGTCACTGACTCCACCATCACGTCAGTACCAATCTTGGGTTTTTTTTTTTATTTGTATTAATATTTGTATATTATTTTTTTAATATTTTTTTTGGTGAATAGTGATAATTTTTTAATTTTTTGGGTAACTTTTTGATTTTTTGGCTTTTTTAAGGGTCGCCAAACCAGCCCTCAATGAGAATAAGAAGGAATAATTTAATTGAGTTCGTGGATTTACTTAGGTCTAGGTATAGACCAATAAAGGATTTTGATCTTCGAAATCCATTTGAAGGGGCAGTGCACAAGAAATCAAATCATACATAAATGATCAAACCTTCACAGGCCCTAAAAATGCTATGAGGTGTTTGGAAATAGTCATACAAATTTTTATATACTTTTCTCAAATAAATCTAGCCCTCATGTTGCATTTTTTAAAATACTTTCTAGACACTTTTTCTATAAATATAAAGCTATTGGTTTTTGTTTTTATATTCTCACAACTAGAGAAAGAAGCGGACAAGAAGGCTACAATAAGTTAATAGTTAGCATTATGACAAGCTGGCATGGACCTCATTCTGTCCTCAGCGATTCTAATATAGATCAATCCAACCATCTATTCCTATTTTTTAATTCATTTCATTAATACAATTGTTTAATTTTTTTGCTATGATGCCATAGAGATGCCACTCAATTGAATGATGTGGGATAGAGAGAACTGGGGCACAAAGTGTTGGGGTGGACCTCTTCTTCATCATACCACAGCTTCTTTTTTCACTCCAACGTGCCTATATAAATATATATATGAATAATCGTGCACCAAAGCTTTCATCATATACAACACAAAAAGGTCCGTTGAAGAGAAAAAGAGAAGTGAGTGAGTGAGACTAGTCACTTGACCCAAAGCATGGATCCAATTTTGAGGAGTTGAATTTCTTCTACATTCTAGAATCATGATATAAAGGTTGGGACATTGGAGATTGTCCTTTGGTGAGCTTATATATGTATGTATCTAATTTGTCGTTTTCCAATGGTCCTACAGCACTTACCCTTCTCCCCACTCTCAAGAAAAGAAAATAAAATAGGCCATACTTGTTCATTTTAATTTATCTTAATTATATTCTTAGTGTATATATATAGTTTTTGATAAATGTTATCATGAATAATTGGATTTGGGTATGCTTACCTTCTAAAAGAAAGCAACAGATGGAAATAAAGATGACACAGGCCTAGTGAATCAAATACTTCACCAACAAAGGAGAAACACCTACACCTAAGTGAAAAAATATATATTTTTTTTATTTTTATCACAGAAAGAAATAAACCCTGGACATAATAGTAGTGAGATGCACAGAATCTTGGTGAATGGACTAATCCTGTTGGTTTGCAAAGATCAATTCAAAATTGTCAAAATATATGTAAATTAGAAGTGCCAAAAAAAAATAATGTGAATTAGAAAATTTTTACAACAGTCTAACCATAGCTTATATAAGTTAAATTAGATGTTCATTTTTTAACTTTGGCAGTTTTGTGCAATGGTAGTGGAAGTAATGATCCAAAATCATTCAGTTTTGTGATACTTTAACAAGCTTGTCCTAAAATAGTCAAATTAATTATTCATTTTTGGGTCCCAAATAATATTTTGCTTTAGGCATTTTATAGTCTCTTTATCAACTGTTAGGTACTTTTGTTTTTCTTATTTATGCTTTTTTCTGATTACTCCATATTTGACCTACATCACCATTTTTTGTGGTTAAAAATTAGAACATCAGAGTGTGATTACGCCTAGCAAATGTACAACATAGTACCCTACCACACACATTTGGTGAAGTAATAAATAAGGTTTAAATACAATGGACAACACATGAGCACATAATGCCTATCACACAAAATACAAATTGTCCCAATGATCTATGAATTTTGAATTCTAAACTAGATTTTTAAAAAAGAAAACAAAAAATTGATAGGATGAAAATCAGAGAGGGATACTGCATCACACAATAATTAGTCAACAAATTTGATAAGGGAGCAACTCATCTATTAGATCAATCCTTAGTCTTGGATTTTAATCCAAGCATAATGTAAGAAAATACATAAGATGAATTAAATGAAACCATTAAGAAGCCTATATCTTGACTTGAAAGATGATTTGTATAAACCAACTAGGTGAGTGCTAAGCTACTAAATTTTTATATAAACCAACTAGGAAAGCGCATCTGTTTAAAGATTAATTTGAATTTAGGTAAGCTAAGAAGCCTTGTATTCGAATTCTTGATTACTTAATTTACTTGAAGTTTGCGACTGATTATAAGTACCTATATTTATTTTACAAAATGAGTTCAAAATGTTACCAATATATATATGTTAGTCAAATATGTGATGTTTGGACCATGATTGACTTTCCAAGAAAATACAGTCCATGTAGCTCAATCACATAGAGAACTTTGCAAAAAAAAAATAAAAAAATTTGCACCAAATTCAAGCTCTAAAATACATGTTATTAAAAAATTACTAATGTGGTTGTCCTTATCTACCATTGTTTTCAAGATTTTTCTCTCTTCCTCACATGGGGTTTATGTAAAGCTCACTCATAATGTCATAAAACACTACATGAAATACAGAAAGGCGAATCTATTTATATATATAGAGAGAGAGATTTGATGTAACATCATGGTCTAAATATAATACGAAATATTGCATTTCATACCCTTAAAAAAACCCCCACAAATTGACACCGGTCCCTAGTAATTCTAATACATAAAAGTAAAACTAAAAACAAAGCTTAGGGAACACAGTAGTTGTCTTCACATGCCATAGAACTTGCCAACAAGAAACAGAGAGAGATAAAGAAAAAATATTCATACCCCAAATTTCAAAGTTTCTATAACTTTGGAACATTTAACATGAGATCAAAGCTTCGCCGTCCGGTCCCCGAAGTTTTTATGAACGACCAGACCTTGGAATATAAATGACGGACTCTGAAACAGGGCAAGTACTCTTGCAAGAAGTGTACATGTTGATGAATCCAAATCGATCACTCAAAGTCCTAGTGACCTTTGAGCTCTTCCAAAGATTGAAACTGCCAATTGGGTTTTGTTGATCATCATGATCATGATCATGATCATCCTTTGAACACTCCATTAATGCCATGAAAAATGGATCTATTTCCCTCCTGAAGCTCTCACTAGTGAAATTCTTCTTTCGGAGCGGGGAATTTTGATGGAAATTGGAATTGATTTTCTTGGAGGAGAAGGAAGATGGGGTTGGAGTCCCTGCAGGGGGTAATGGGAGGAGGCTTAGTGATGGGTCTATTTTCTTGGAAAGTTGTTTCTTGGGAATTCCCGGCAATTTTTCCCAGGAAAATGGGACTCCCAAGAAAGATCGGAGGGGAGTGCTGGGACTGAATAAGGGAGAATCATGGTGGAAAAAGGAGGAGGTGGAGGAGGAGGAGGAGTTGGAGGAGAGAGAAGGGGAGGAGGAGAAGGAGGGAGTGCGGCGGGAGGAGGGCCGGAGAGGGGGTGAAAAAGGGGTGTCAGTGTTGTTTGGAGCAATTTTGGAGTGGCCATTGAAGGTTGAAGTGGAAGACATGCTGCCCCTATTCAGGAAGAACCGAGCAAAGCAGAGCAGAACAGAGGAGAGAGTTTTTTCTTGTGTTGTCTTGTGTTGTGTTTGTGTTACTCTCTGTTTCTGATATATATTGGGATACTGATATACATTGGGATATATACTTCTATTTATCTATATTTTTGTTGAGTGAAAGTAAAAAATATATTATTACCTAACAAAACGACCCCATGACATTATGACAAGGAGACATAAAGAGTGAGAGTGAGAGAGGGAGAGATCGCAAGGGGAGGGGATGGGAATAAAAATTAACAATAATTCCTGAGATCACTAAAAGTGGTGCTCTAAAAGCATTACTAGTGATGTGGCAGTGGACGGGACCCATTGCTTGTGTCTTATTTTTTTTTTTTATTTAAAGTGTTTGCCAACTCATTAGTGATGCTTTAGAGTACCACCTTTAGTGAGATATATCATTACCGAGAAATTAATAGTTGTGGTGGGGACCCTGTTTTATTAGGGATAAATATTTTAATATTCTGAAATATCAGATTTCATGTGATATTATATTTTTTTAGGTAAGTAATAAAATAAAATAATAAAATATGTAAGTGTACAAGGGCATATCAAAAGCAAAGAAACTAATCACTCTCCAGTCTCAACCCCAACTACTCAATAGCCTAAAATCCCTACAGCAGTGACTCCTCAATCCCTCTGAAGCAATGCTGGACGTGGCTCAAGAGCAGTACACGAGGATACATATGAACCATAAAATCACTCGCAAAGAGTCCAATCAACTACGTTGAACCACTAGACTAATGCAAATATTATCCTCTAAAATAAAAGCCAAAATATGTATAGTTCAGCAACCATATGCCAACCGAATTAGTATAACAGACCTCAAAACTTCCAGCCTCTATCGCGGCTGATCAAAACGCCTCAATTCCTCGTAACAGTGACCCTGCAATCACCCATGTTGAAAGTGGCCTAAGGAAAACACGGACGGATTCACATGAAATTCTCAAGTAAATCATCTTGATCTGCTCACCCATGCGATATTATTTACTAGACCTAAAAGAAAAAAAGTTACCAACTGATTTTTTTTTTTCCCGTGGGGGATTTATCTAAAAGTCTTATCTCAGAAAAATATGTACCAAAAATTTCATAAATTTTCTTGTAAACTATTAAGTCACATTGAAGAAAAGGTACACCGTAAAATTATTTTACTATATTTCCTGTAGATTTTAAAAGTGAGTATATTTTATTGGGATTTTTATTGATAAATCTATTTTGGAGATGTTATAACCTATTAGGTCCACCAAGGAATATTATAACCTGATTAGTCCCATATACTTTTCTTTTTATTCCATAAAGTCCATTTTACTAATTTTATATTTTTACCTGGACTATTATACCCTTATATATATATATATATATATACTGTGTTAGTACATAACACGTTTCCTGTTTTTTCATTGATTCAGTTTTGATAGTTTCTATCTTTACGCTTTTCATCATCATTCTAATTCAGATGGATACGTTTCTATCTTGCATGCTCGTTCTGAGGCTTTGATGTGCTAGGGCTTCATTGTTGCTGTTGTAGTCTGATTTGGTGATTTTCAAGTGAAAACGATGAATTTGAAGGTGTTCAGTTGTCACATTTTCTAGAGTATAACTACTTCAAAGCAGTTGTTTTCGAGTTACTGGACGATTGTAGGATTGCATGATTATGGTTAGTATCATTTTGGTTATGAATACATTTTCACTTTATGTTTTGATTTGTATGATGGATCAGATGCTCTGTTTTTTGATTGATATGGATCGGATGCTCTATTTTTTCAATTATATGCATCATACGTGGTCCTGTGGATGGGAGGTCATTCAGATTATGTGAAGAATGTGTAGCTCTCATTTTACTTTGATGTATCCATAATAAGGCTCTGTGTGGATGATATAATTCAGAGTATATGTATCAATGTGAATGTTTACATCTTGTTAATATTATGTGAAGAATGTAGATGTTCTCATTTTACTTTGATATTTGCTTAATGAGGCTTTGTATGGGTGATATAATTCAGAGTATATGGATCAATGTGAATGTTTACATCGTGGTCCTGTGGAGGGGAGGTCATCAGATTAGTGATGAATGTGGATGTTCTATAATTTAAAGTATATGGAACAATGTGAATGTTTACATCGTGTTAATATTATGTGAAGAATGTGGATGTTCTCATTTTACTTTGATGTTTTCTTAATGAGGCTCTGTGTGGGTGATATAATTCAGAATATATGTATCAATGTAAATGTTTACATTATGTTAATATTATGTGAAGAATGTGGATGTTCTCACTTTACTTTGATGTTTGCTTAATGAGACTCTGTGTGGGTGATATAATTCAGAGTATATGTATCAATGTGAATATTCACATCTTATTAATGTGAATTATGGATTTAACATTTGAACTGTACACATAGTCATCTAATTTTTGCATAATGTGAATTTTCATATCGTTTTGGATTATTGTTGATTGTTGTATTGTTGTGGTTTTACAGGAGATGGATACATTTATGATGTTGGTGTGTACATATGGTTGCAGTACAACTGTAATAAATGTTGCCCACGCATTGTGTTATTTGTGTTTGGTGGACTGTTTGTGTGAAAAATGGGGTGAGTTGTCTGCTGGTTCTATTTCATTGTTCTGTCGGTTACCTGGGATTAATAGGTGTGATTTGGACAATGAGGAAGAATTTCAGAACATGTTACTGCTTGCTAAATCAATGGGGGTACAACATGTAGAAGTTGTTGTTGACTTGAAAAGTGATATTGGTCAGTCAAGTAGCTCGGGATCGTTGCGTATGGGGATTGAAGAAGAAATTGATGCACTGCGGAGATTTTGCCACCATAAGGAGAATGTGTTGTTGTCAACCCCTTGGGCAAATGGTATTACGCATGTGGGACAACGGCTTGTTGGAGGTGCATAAGAATTTCGTGATGTTTTATATAAGTATGCCATCCAATGTGGGTTTCAGTTTACGTATGTCAAGAACAAGACAACAAGAGTTACTGCTGTGTGTGCGATGCGTGAGGAGAGAGGCTGCTTGTGGGCTATACATTGTAGAGCACAACGAGCAAATGGTTTTTTCTACATCAAGAGGTTTAGTGATGTGCATAGTTGTGGTACGGATGTCCGAACATCAAAGAATCCGCAAGTTAGTTCGGATTTGGTATCGAGTACCATATCTGAAATTGTGAGGGACAGGCCGTTGACTCGGCCGTGTGAGGTGGTGACTATTTTGAAGAGGGATTATGGGTTAGATGTGAGTTACCATGTGGTATGGTTGGGTGTCGAGAAAGCAAAGGCTGGTATTTATGGAGATCACTCATTATCGTTTGACCAGCTGCGGTGGTATTCAGATGTTGTGATGTGTTACAATCTGGGGAGTTATGTCAATATTGACTATGATGCGAGTAGTCAACAGTTTTTTCGTTTCTTTGTGTCATTCGCTGCGTGTATTTATGGGTTCAATTCTTGTCGGCCTTTATTATTCCTGGATGGAACATTCCTCAAAGGAAAGTACAAAGGTCAGTTACTTGTGGCAACGGCAAAAGACGAAAACAATGGTTAGTATTTTTTTAGCTTTTTATTCATGTCAATATTTACATTGAGCAGCATAGTCTGGACAAATGATAGACGATTACACAGTGTGTTCTACATTTACACTAGTGTCAATGTTTATATCAATACACATTGATGTGAACAACAACAAAATATAAGTGATTGAGAAATTATAAGTAATGCGGACATTTACATTAGTATGCACTGATGTGAATGTTTACATCAGTGTCTGCTAATGACAGTAATGTGAGCATTCACATTAGTATACACTGATGTGAATGTTCACATCAGTGTATACTAATGTCAGTTTACCCATTAATAAACAGTACTGTGAATGTTCACATTATCAATGACTCAACAATCAACAATGAATTATTAATGGTCGTTAATGTGAATGTTCACATCATTGATGTTTACGAACCCGAATCCAAAAATAACAATAGTAATAGGGAAATGTAGATATAAACATTCATATGACTTGTTTCATTTATATTTTATTCACTTTGGAATATTGTGAACAGTTGTGTAATGGTATTGTGTTGTAGGTCTATTTCCTATTGCATTTGCGATTGTTGATTCAGAGACCACGGCCAATTGGTCGTGGTTCTTGCACGAACTTGGGAAGGTTGTTGATGGTAAGCACCAAATTACTTTTATTTCGGATCATAATCTTGGTCTGTTAGAAGCTATGCCAAAGGTGTTCCCAACGGCTCACCACAGTTATTACTTACAACACTTGAAGAGCAGTTTAAGAGACTAGATGAAAGGAATTGATAATGGATTCAGGGATCACCTAGTAAGTAGTTTGGGTGACTGTGTTTACGAGCCAACTGTGGTAGGGTTCCATGAAAAGCTTGCAAAATTAAAAGAGGAGGGTAAACAACGAGCACATAATTTTTTCAAGGACTTGGCACCTGAGCACTAGGCAAATTCAAACTTCAGGTAATAATAGTTTCCTAAAGTGTTCCATTTGACAAGTTTAGAATGGTAGCAATGTGAATTTTCAGTTTAGAATGGTAACAATCGTCCAATTGTGTTTCATGTTCAATGTGAATGATGTGAATGTTCATATCTGCTAATGATGAATGATGTGAATGATGACAATGTGCACATCTGTTAATTTGTCAAACAGTCATACAATGTATTACATATGTGAATGTTGACACCTGTCGTATGATGTTGTTGTTAACATTCACATCTGTCTATCATTTAAGTTAACAACATAATAAGCATATAATGTTCACTGCAAATGATGTTAATGTTCACATTTGTCAATGTGAATGTTCAGACTTGTTAAATTCCATATTGTACAGTGTTTGTGATCTTGTGCAGGGGCATGCGTTATGGGGAGATGACATCCAATACGGCGGAGTTATTTAATAAATGGATTAAAGAAACACGTAATCTTCCTATCACTCAAATGGTGGACACAATTCGTATTTAGTTGATGCGGCAAATGTCTGCACGGCGTGACCAAGCAAACAAATGGAATGAGCTTATTTGTCCTACATTCAAAATAATGC